CTCACTGCAACCTCCCTCTTCCGAGTTCAAGCAATTCCCCTGCCTCAGCCTCCTAAGTAGCTGGGACTACAGGCATGCACCACCACGCCTGGCTAATTTTTTCTATTTTAGTAGAGACAGGGTTTCACCATTTTGTCCACGCTGGTCTTGAACTCCTGACCTCAGGCGATCCACCCAACTCAGTTTCCCAAAGTGCTAGGATTACAGGCATGAGCCATTGCGCCCAGCCCAGTTGTATGATTTTTAAGAGTTGAGATGGGATTCTAGGCAAGTACCTCCAAGAGAAAAAGAAGAAAGGGATTAAGTAAGGGTGTTTACACGGCTGTGGTGACAGTGTTGAACTGTGAAATCTAAACTAGATAAGAAAGGAGATAAGGACTCGAGTGGAATCGTTAGTGAGAAGTGGGAGAAGGCTGGATGGTGGCAGAGAACCGCAGGAGTGGGCGAAAATAGAAGGTGCGCGTGTCAGGGAATAGGGTACTTGAAATCAGATGTTTGGATGCGTTGCAGTTATTGGTGATGATGAAACCTTAGATATGACCATATGACCTGACAGTTGAGAAGAGTTGGGAAATAAAGACAATTGAACTAACGTAGTCACTTGGAAATCAGTGTGTTAGATGTCTGTGCAGGTTAAGGTGTCAGGATTGATCAGCAGGAACAGCGGTAGCTCCAGGTGCTAAAATCAGCGAAACAAGGGAGTGACCAGGAGGGTGACAGCAGTGAGGAGCGCCATCAGCAGGAGCACCCAGGGGGTTAGCTCTTTAAGGGAGAGAAAGAAGTTTGGGTAGATATGAACATCAGTAACCCAAGAAGATTAGTATGGAAGTAGCCAACCACACACCGGCTTTTGGAGTTACGGTGCCTAAGGATGATTTAAAAGATGTTCCCCAGCAGCTTGGCCCACGCTAAGCAGTCTTGCAGCTGTGCTGGTATTGGGGGTGCGGAGTAAACCAGGGAATGAGAGCAGGACTGGAGAGGCTTCCAACTGAGCCTTCGTGACCACACAGCTGATGTGCCAGGTTTAAGGGAACACGATGCACCTGCTTTTGAGTATTTTGTTCCCTTTTTTCCCACTTGTCTTAGGTTTGAACTTATGAACATGCTTGTTTTGCATCTTCATAGACATATTGAAATTTGAGGGGCACTCATAAACATTTGCACTGATTTATAAAACTTTTTCTCAACTGATTAGTCTCACAAGGATGAACTTTGTTTTACCAAATGGGGGAGCATTTTTCAGTCATTTGTGATCTTTCACAAAATGAAAACTGCTGGAAAGTAAATATTTTCCTTCCCACTTCCAAGGTAATTCGGGGGCTGGGGGGCAGGAGAAGTTGCCATGCTAGCACACAGTGGAAAGGATTTTGTTGAATAATATGCAGAATTAAGCCTGGTACCACGTCACCTCATACAGGAACGGATGCTGAAATGAGACGGACTATTTCTACGAAGCTCTCATGATACTCGTAAAAGCCTTCACATTTCCTTTTTTCCAAAAAAAATAAGCACTATTTGGGTACTGAAACCTTTATTCCCATTTTACTGGAAAGGAAACAAAGAACATGAACAATTTACTAGTCAGAAAAACAGTGTTTTATAACCCAAAACAAATATTTGCCAAGAGCTGTAAATTGCTTAAATCGCTTAAACCGGAGATTTCAGTGAGATTTTCAGCAGTAACTAGATTACTAAGCTCCTTAGTTATAGAACATTCAAGGCCTAGAAAAGTATTTTTCCTACAAAGCATAACTGAAAGGTAGTTTAACTAATGGTTTACAATTCAGTCAAATACCAAAGCTGCAAACCATTTGGGGAGTCATCAATTACATATTTTGTACACTTTCAAAAAGCTTACAGCTGGGATGGGTTGTTTATTTTCAAAGCATGACTGCTTTAAAATCATATTCATTAGCCTGCCACCTAGGAAGCATTAAGCATTTACTTGCAGCATGAACAAGCAAGCAAGTTGTCTTGTGTTATGAAGTATAATATAGTTCTTCATTTTAGTTTCTTCATTCGCAGACTACCAGGCTCATTTCACGCCTGCACTTAGAACTGAGTTTTCAGGGAGTAGGAACTCTCCAACATCGTCATCAGAGATAACCAAGAACAGCCATGAAAGGGACAGTCGGGGAAGTATTCAGTGCTTTGTTGTAGACTTGTTGGATAGAGGCACAGGATCATTTTCACGTTGTTGAGGAGAAAGGAGAAGCAGCCTCCTCCCACCTTATTAAAAATAGAGATTTTTTAAATTTCCTCGAAGTACGGAATCTCAAAAGAGGTAGCTCTAAGGAGAATCCCTCTGGGTCTGAGTGCATCCTCTCGCAGGGGCCTGTTCCACTCTTGGACTGCTTTCCTAGAGAAATCTCTCTGAGCCAAAATCGGCCTCCCCCAACTCCATCCTGTCGGCCCCAGTTTTCTGCTCGGAGACTTCCAGGCCAGTCCCCACTCCTCCTTCAGCCAGTTGGGCCCGCACCAGCGCCCGGCAGGGCCAGCCCTCTCCTCCTCCCGCGCGGCGCAGCACAGGCCTGGAGCGCGCGGCCCCAGGCCCTCCGACCCCCGCGGCCCGCCGCATACTCGCGGCTGGGGGCCCCCCGTTTGCGTGGCCCTTCAGTTACTCCACTAAAGAGCCGCCGCGTCGCCCCATCTCGGCGCGAATCTAAAAGCGTTTTCGGGAAAGAAGATGTTGGGGGCCCTGGTGAGTACACTGCACAAGTGACAAAATGTTTTCAGCTCCTGGAGGCGAAGGGTGCAGAGCCGCTCTGTGTCATGAGCCCGGGCGGCGACCTCGCGCAGTCAGCTCCTCGGTCCGCGTCCCCGGGTACGAGGAAAGGCCACAGGGGGCTTCTCTCCGAAAGCGGGTCCCGGACCCCGCGCGGGCTGGCGGGGGCGGGCGGATGACGAGGCGCGGGGGCGTGGATGGGTCTGCGAGGCGGCGGGTCCGGGCGTCTCAGGCTCCGAGGCTCCCTCGCTGGCGGCGGCGCGAGGATGGCGCGCCCGGGGGTGAGGGCGCGGCGGGTCACAGGCACTCGCAGCCTGCGGCGCAGCAGCCCGGCAGGCACACGCACACGTGCACGCGCGCCCCGCACCAGCCCCCCGCGCGGTCCCCGGCTCGGGGAGGCGGTGGCGGTGGGGGCCGGGGGCGCGCGGGCCGGCGCCGGGCAGGGCCCCGGGGACCCCGCGGGCGGCGGGCAGGCGGGGAAGGCGCTCGAGGGCCAGCCCGCGCGGCTCCCATCCTCCGGGCCGGCCTCCGGCTCTGCGGGGCGAGGGGAGGCGCCCGCGGGCTCCGGGCGCCGCGGGCGGGACACGGGCGCGGGGCGCAGGCGGGCTCCTCCGGCGCGCGCGGGCGCTGAGCGTGGCCTGTCCCGCAGGTCTGGATGCTGGTGGCCGGCTTCCTGCTGGTGCTGCCGCCGGGCTGGGCCGCGGGCGCCCCGAGGGCGGGCAGGCGCCCGGCGCGGCCGCGGGGCTGCGCTGACCGGCCGGAGGAGCTCCTGGAGCAGCTGTACGGGCGCCTGGCGGCCGGCGTGCTCAGCGCCTTCCACCACGCGCTGCAGCTGGGGCCGCGCGAGCAGGCGCGCAACGCGAGCTGCCCGGCAGGGGGCAGATCCGCCGACCGCCGCTTCCGGCCGCCCACCAACCTGCGCAGCGTGTCTCCCTGGGCCTACAGGTGAGCGGCGGGCGCGTCCGGGCGGGGCCGGGCAGGTGGGGCGGGTGGAGTGGGGCTGGGCAGAGGCGGGGCTGGGGGGGGGGGCGACGCGGGGGGGGCGTGGCACGCGGGGCGGGGCGGGGCGAGACAGGATAGGGTGGGGTGGGGTGGGGTGCGGGAGGCGCTGCGGTGGGGCGGGGAGGGGAGGGGCAGTTGGAGCGCCGGGGGCCAACTCCTAAACCGCGAAGGCCCACCCACCACCTCCCTTGAAAGAGTCCTGCTTACCCTCTTTACCCTCCAGAATTTCCTTTGCAACACGGATCTGTTCAGCCCCTCATCTCCGCCAGGTTGGATGGGTCCACAAGGTACTAGCCAGGGACCCTGTGATGTGGACCATGCTGTGTACAGGGGGCCCAGGGAGGTGCTGCTGAAGGTGCGCGGTACTGTCCACGTATTTCCTGAGTGATCCTGCAGTCCGGAGGTTGCTGCAGCGGAGCCCTGGGAAGCGCCCTCTGAGCCCCTCTAGCTCAATAGCCTAAGGGAGGAGTGGGGATAATTGGGAAAGAAACCACACCACCCGGCAGAGCATGTTACGACATGAACAGTTTCAAGAGTGTTTTGGCCTGGAACGGAGGTCATTTCAGAAGAAAGGGACAGCCTGCAAAAGGGGAAGGCTGGAGAAGTTGGGGGCGTGCAGGCAGGGTGCAGCTACAGTGTCCTCAGCAGGCTCCTGTCCCCCCTCTAGCTGGAGCAGGAGGAGCTGCCCTAGGGGGTGAGACCACACAGGGCTACAGAGGTCGAGAAAGGCTTCGTGTAAGAGCTGAGTCTCGAAGGAGGAGAGCAAGTCGCCTGCAAAGGCAGTACTGAGGGAAGGGACAGCTGATGGCAAGCGGGTACAAAGCGCTTGGAAACGGGAGAGCCACGAGCCGGGCGGGGGCTGGCGGCAGAGGCGAGGTGTTTGTCTGTGGGGTGGGCGTCGATGTCAGGCTGGAGCCAGGCGTCGGAGCTGGGTCCCGGCTTTGTCAGCAGGGTGCAGCTTGGCACTCATGCCTGGAATCTCAGCACTTTGGGAGGCCGAGGCAGGAGGATTGAAGTCCAGGATTTCAGGACCAGCCTGGGAAACAGCGAAACCCCGTTTCTACAAACAATTGTTCAACATTAGCCAAGTGTGGTGGCTGGTGCCTGTGCTCCCCGCTACTCCAGTGGCTGAAGTGGGAGGACTGGTTGGGCCCAGGAGGTTCAGGCTGCAGTGAGCTGCGATGGCGCCACTGCCTTCCAAGCTGGGTGACAGAGCAAGAAAGACCCTGTCTCTAAAATAAAAATTAAAGACAAAACAAAACAAAAAAAATGCTTGACACTTACGATCAAAGAAGCCATCCAGCCGCCCTGGTTTAGGAAGGTGTCCCATGGGGCATGGCCTGGACTGTGTGCTGCAACGCTTCCATCCAAAGGACCTAGGGCTTCACTCAGGCAGCATGGTGGGAAGCGGAGATTAGCATTACCGTGAACGATGCTTGCTAAAGAAGACGGGTGCTGTGGGGAGTCAGGGGAGATGTGCTGCCTTTGTCTAAAACACATCTGGGCTTTCCTGGAGCCTCCACCTGCTGGCTGCTGGGTAGGGAGATTTCCTTTTACTCAACAACACTCAAGACTCCTAGCCAAATTTTAGGGCCTCTTGCTGCCTGGCTACTCTGCAGAGGACCAAGCTCACTGTGGCGGAGCCTCCTCAGAGTCCCTGCACGAGGGGATGTCGGGTGGGAGCCCTCCCACCCTTCTCACTCCTGTCCAGCTGGAGCCCGCAGGGCACACACGTGGTGCCATTCATTCTGGTGACTTGGTGCTCTTGCCTTTCCTCTCTCTTCCCTCCATTTCCAGGACCCAAAGGGATGGGCTACGGCATCCTTCTTTCTCCAGCCTCGTGTTATGCATCCGATATGCCAAATAGGATTAAAGCCACTTGGGGAATCTCTCAGAGCCAGAGCCTAGCTTCTCTGGACACAAGCTGCTGGCCCTGCATCTTCCTATATTAGACTGGAGCTCTCAGGCAAACCCATGCCCGCCCACAGGCTGGACCGAGGGCCTAAGAGTAGCACATGGCCTCCCGAAGGCATGGGCCAATGTTTCTGGCTTGGGTCGTTGATGATATTTGAGCAAAATAGGAAAATTGACTTAGGAACAAGTGCTGTGGGAGGAAATCATGGCTTTAGTATCAAGCCTGTTGAGTTTTGCCTGAAAGGCTTACAGGTGACGACAACTGAGCAGAGCTCAGGAGGCAGAGCAGAGCTGGGGACACATTGAGAGTTAGCAGCCCTGGCGTTCTGCGTGTGGGAAGTCAAATTCAGTTGCCCTTGGTACAGATGTGTCACCCCAGGCAGGATCCGGGAACAGAGGGAGGTTATGGATGACAATGACGCACAGGTTTGGGGAGCATGGTCTGGGACACCCGAATCAGCCCATGTGTGGAGCCTCAGTGCTGGGTGGTCCCAGGAGCAGGAGTGACAGCTGCAGCAGGTGGCTGAAGGTGTCATGTGCATCATCTTTCATATTATTTAGCAACAGTGATGAGATCACTCTCCATGGGTAAATGGAGGTGGGTGGCTTATATTTGCTGAAGGAAAGAGTCTTCAGGGGATGGCTGCTGGGCTGGGACTCCAGACTGCCGACTGCCAAAGCTGCTCCTGCCTTTTCCTGCCAGGAGAGCCCTCTCCGCCCTCCTCCCTGTGATCACCTCTCACCATCTCCTGGGTTATTGGGAAGATTAGAAAAAGCGAGACCCAGCCGGGCCCAGTGGCTCACACCTGTAAATCCCAGCTACTCAGGAGGCCAAGGCAGGAGGATCACTTGAGCTCAGGAGTTTGAGACCAGCCTGGGCAACATAGTGAGACCCCTTCACTACAAAACAGTTATCAATGCGTCGGGTGCAGTGGCTCACGCCTGTAATCCTAGCACTTTGGGAGGCCGAGGCGGTGGATTGCCTGAGCTCAGGAGTTTGAGACCAGCCTGAGCAACATGGTGAAACCCCATCTCTAATAAAATACACACACACAAAAAAATAGTCGGGCATGGTGGTATGCACTTGTACTCCCAGCTAATTGGGAGGCTGAGGCAGGAGAATCGCTTGAACCTGGGAAGCGGAGGTGACAGTGAGCCAAGATCGCCCCCCTACACTCCAGCCTGGGTGACAGAGTGAGACTCCATCTCAAAAAACAAAAAAATAAAAATAATTAGCCAGGTGTGGTTGTGTTTGCCTGTGGTCCCAGCCACTTGGGAAGTGTGAGCCGGGGATGCTGTTGTGAGGACTGTGCCTGCGCTCCGGCCTGGGCAACAGCCTGAGAAGAGGAAAAGTGAGCCCATGCAAGTGAGAGTCTACTAAAAGGTGTTGTGGAGGGACACGCTTTTTTTCTTCTTTGTGAGACAGAATCTTGCTGTGCCACCCCGGCTGGAGTGCAGTGACACAAACACAACTGACTGCATGCAGCCTTGACCTCCTGGGCTCAAGTGACCCTCCCGACCCAGCCTCTCATAGTGCTGGGATGCTGGGATTACAGGCATGAGCCATAGTGCCAGGCCAGGCCTTGTTCCTTGGTGGAGTGTCTGAGGGTGGGGGCTGGGGGGAGGAGTTCCCACCTGCAGGCTGGGCACAGGGTCAGGTGGGCTTTCTTTCCCTCCTTTCCTCCCTCCCTTCTTTCTTTCTTTCTCTCTCTCTCTCTCTTCTTTCTTTGTGTCTTTCTTTGTGTCTTTCTTTGTGTCTTTTTCTTTCTTTCTTTCTTTCTTTCTTTCTTTCTTTCTTTCTTTCTTTCTTTCTTTCTTTCTTTCTTTCTTTCTTTTCTTCTTTCCTTTCTTTTCTTCTTCCCTCTTTCTCTTCTTTCCCTTCTTTTGAGACAGGGTCTTACTCTGTCACCAAGACTGGAGTGCAGTGGCGTGATCTCAGCTCACTGCAACCTCCACCTCCCAGGTTCAAGTGATTCTCCTGTCTCAGCCTCCAGAGTAGCTGGGATTATAAAGGCATGCCACCACACCTGGCTAATTTGTGTATTTTTAGTAGAGACGAGGTTTCACCATGTTGGCCAGGCTGGTCTCGTACTCCTGGCCTCAAGTGATCAGCCAGCCTTGGCCTCCTGAGTTGCTGGGATGACAGGCCTGAGCTGCTGCACTCAGCCTCAGGGTGGTGTTTCTGAAGGCTCAGCACTCAGAGAGAATGCCGACAAAGACGATTGGGGAGATGGACTGAACGTCAGGAGTACTGACGGGCACAGCAAGGATCGCTTTAGGAGGATCAGTTTTAAACCAGGCATGTGGAAGGTGGCGTTCCATACAGATGGAATGGAGACATGGTCATTCAGTAGATGGTGTTGGGACAGCCTGGGCCTCCTTCCCTCCTCTGTGAAAATGAATTCCAGATGAATCAAAGATTTAAATGTAAAAAATGAAACCACAAAAGCAGAGGAAAACACAAGCAATTATATTTATAATCCTGGAGTGGAGGAGGCCCCTATTTAGCTACACAGTCCCCAAAAGTCATAAAAGACAAGGTTGAGAAATGAAGTTACATAATGATGCACCGTTTCTTCTTGGCAAAGCAAAATGAGAAGATACAGAGGGCAAACTGGGAAAGAATGTTTACAACCCAAGTCACAAAGAGCTCATTCCTAAAGAGCGCCCACAAATCAGGAAGAAAAGGACCAGTGACGTCGTGGAAAGATGAGCAAAGTTCGGACTGTTCCCAGGAAAGGAAGGTCAGATGACTCAATCGCTCGACACAGGAAGCAGCGCTGGCTTCAGGCATCAGCGAAGTGCATGTGGAGACTATACTGAGAAGCCCTTTTTTTCCCCTGGCACCCAGCAGGCTACATTGGCGAGGTGGTGAAGGAAAGGCATTCTCATCCAAGTCCAGGGGGATGAATCGGCACAACTTTTGTGGAGGGCAATTTGGCGTTAAATATCGAGATTTTAAATTCACACACCTTTGACTTAGTATTTCCCCTTTAGACACACTTGCCCATGTGCCAAATGATATGTGT